TTTATAAATGCATGAATCATATGGTGAAAAACTGACTTTGAAAAATATATCAATTCTTTCTTTTTATATAAAGCTAAATAAAACAAAAATATTGGTCATTTTTGACGGTGTAACTTTAAAAATGGCACCCCATAAGTAGGACACATTGCTTAAGCTTTCAATGAATCACTTTTGCCATAAAGCTCCTTCTTCTAGCCTTTTTCAATTYAATTTTACTTTATTATTTTCAGCAGCATGGCTGTATAATGGCATCTGTAGACAAAAGAAAAAAAAAAAACGTTTCCCAAACTCTAAAAATCTTTCTGTCTCTTCACTGCAGGCACAACCCCAGGCTCTCCATTTTCGAGCCATCCAGAATCCCCCACGTTCCCGCCCTGCTCCGACCCGTGGAGTGACGAATGCACCATCTGCTACGAGAACGCGGTGGACACCGTCCTCTACGCCTGTGGACACATGTGTCTCTGCTACACGTGCGGCCTGAAGCTCAAGAAGATGCCCAACGCGTGCTGCCCCATCTGCCGGAGGACAATCAAAGATATCATCAAGATCTACCGGAGCACGTAGGCTCGTGTCGGATGAGCTCGAGATGTTATCAAAGCCATGTAAGGTTACAGCACAAGTGAGAGACCTGCATGTTTGTGTATTTGTGTGTGATCAGGCTCAGGTACTCAACGCCAGGACTTAGTTAYAAATGCACATCATTGCTATTTTCAATAGAAGTAAAAAAATAACGGTGCTGCTTAAAAAAAAACGAGGTGAGCRGCAAAGCTCTGAGCCACTTCTGTTGTAGAGAAAGAGCTATCTGAAGAGCCATATGCCCCACTTCCCATCGAGTAACCCTCTCATTCCTCCCAGTGATAGCACCGTCCAAGTAAAGTAAGATTGTCCAGAGCTGTGGAAAATAACAAACAGAATCAATCTGCGGCTTCACCAGCTGCTCCTCCGCGTCTTGTCAGGAAGCGTTGAGTCAGAGCGCTGTTTGAGAGGGAGAATCAATTCTCGCCTAAATCCAAGAAAAAAATCAAAGGGAAGAGAGTTTTATTTGAGATTTCCAGAAGGCATCTAGATATCAGAGGCAAAATAAGTGGAAGGTGCTGAGAAAAACGGGTTTGCGAGCCAGCAATGTTATAAAATAAAACCTAAAGCTTTGGGTAAAAAAAAGAAAAACATATATCTCTATAATATATTTCAGATAAGTAATAAGTGAAGTATTTTCCCTGAATATCTCAGCGTTTGCATTTCTTCAAAACTTCAGGTGAAGTGAAATGAGTAATAAAAAAAAGTGTGAAGGATTTCACTGCTGAAGGTCACATTTGTGGCGACTGGGGATGTGAGTCAGTGAAGTCGAAGCCAAAGAGGGAAGATGAGGATGTATGTTTGAGATGGAAACAAGAGGAGGAGGAGGGGACGTGTGCGCCTGTTGTGCTGTTTATTCACGCAGATATTTTGCTTCTTGGCAGCCGTGCCCACCTTCTCTGGCCGCTTGCAATGCCGAGAGAGCACATTAAGATAATGAATTCAAATCTTCTTTTTTGCGAAAATCTCTGAAAAGCCCAGGTCTCTGCTAACTTCAGGTTGTGCATTTATTGTATCTGTGATTAAAACAGGTGATGATGTATTTATGTACATGGCATCTTTAAGTGGTAAAAATTCACACATGTGCCATCATTGACAGGGATTTCATGCTTTTGTGACTTTTTTTTTGTTTTGTTTTGTTTTTGCATATCAGTTTCTGAGCGCAGCTCTTTGTAAAAGCTAGCTCGTGTTATTCTCATTTTTTCTCCTCATATGTTGTATATTATTCTGATATTTTAACTGGTAGGGAAACCCAGATGCTTTTTTTATGTTGCTGTTTTCTCTGAAACACAAAGTGACTCCTGTGATGTTGCAGATKTTGCTTTGCTTTCRAAGTGCTGAAGCTTTTCATCTCATCAYTGTAGAAGGAAAAACTACCACTWACGTGTTTGTTGTGGAGCATTTATATCAACTTTCTGAGCTTGTCTGAATGAAATCTAAACAAATTTATCTATCAGATGTAAAAACCAAGAGGAAAAACATCATTTTTTCTCATTATAAATTCTCTTTTTATTGTGTTTCTTACATTTAGAGATTTAACCATAAGTATACATTGACATTTTTTTTAAATACTTGTAAACTTGTGCACMTTTCTTATCTGCTAAAGATCAAATGTTTAACTCCATGTCACTCCATTGTACAGTACTGGAATTTTTGTTCTGAGCTTGTACTTTTCTACCTGGTTGTTTTTCATTTTTTGACCAAATATGAACTAAGAGAGTTACATTTTTTATGTGGTATTTTATTAGAAAATAAAATGCTAGTGAGTATTGAAATCTTAGCTGTACATTTAAAAGTGTATTTATTTTTCAATGTTAATATAAAGAATTTTCACTGTGTGATTATGGTGTTCAAAATGTTTAAAAAAAGATGCAAAGTTAAAGATTCATGTTGGGGACTAGTTTCATATTTTATATTTTTTGGAAATTGTGATCATCATCTAAATGACGATGATGCTGAACTCCAATAATAGATCTTATATGTATTTTCTAATTGAATTACCTATGTTAAAACTGATACCATACAACCATATTTAAAAATATACTATGATGTCATATTTTAAATGAGAGTTAAACCCAACATATCAAATACTGGAAGTGAAATCCTTCATTTTAGTTTTGATGCCTGTAACATTAGATGCAAAAAATAGATGAAAAATCTGACTTTTTTTTTGCAGAAATTCTCAATTATTAGGTATAAAAAATAAAATATTTAAAAATGCCCTTAGCTATTTTAGCAATATGATTCATTCTAAATCACAATCTAAACATGCTGAACCACTGAAAACTTGTGACACATCGTGACACTACAAAACTAATATAGTACGTTCTGGATCATTGGGCTAATGAAAACGTCCTTTCAAAATAAAAACTGAGTGGTTTCTCTTAGATCCCAAGCAGATGCTTTTAAAACAAAGTTATGTGATTCTTATAAAAACATTCAAAAACCAATTCAAAATGAGCATAAATTTGATAACCGTCTTTGTAGAATGTACATCAGTTTGCAAATCATTTCACGATGCTTTTATTTACATGAACAGCATCCCAAGCATTCATCATTTTTTTAAAACAGGGCTGAGTGGAAGAAAAAAAATAACTATAAGCACATGTTCATCTGGTTCCTGCTACAGATTTTGGACTGGTTGTTTGTACCAAGCGCACAACAGTGTTCGTGTTCGTTATTCTAAAAACAAAGTATTATTAACAGGAACAAAAGGAAGACGTTCCCCTCAAAATATCACAATTTTACTATGTTTAGGACGTAAACTCATCAGATCAAAAGAGTCAAAACTCACATTGGTCTGCCTGCAGTTGCCTGGCAACAGGTTTCTGCAAAAAATAAAATAAAATAAATCATACCATAACAGAGTTTTATTTGTACTCTAAAAGCTGTGGGACATGAAAGTTGGTGCTCGTGCAGGACCAGGTTTAGTCTGCAAGTCTTTCAGGGTTTAACAGGACATAACTGCACCATGTGCACTCAGACTTTATTGATGAAAACTCTTTTTATCCATATGATAAAAGCCATATAATAAAGCCTATTATATTTTTGCCTCTATATCAACATTGTGTGGTAATCATTTTTGATGTGACCAAAACTATTTTGCTCAAGATCTAAAGATGGGAAATCAAGAAATGATGTTTGTTTATTGGAATATTAACTTGTCATTTTGATTCACTGGGTTTTCTTCAATGGGTGTTGATATCTTTGCTAATTATRTTTGGTTTAAGAAATAAAATTTAAGACACTGCCTTTTTTGTTTTGTTTGCCGTCTTTTATTATTCATAAGATACAGGGGTTAGACCAGGGGTGCCCAAACATTTTCCCCGAGAGGGCCAAAATGAAAATCTATCCAGGGCTGCCGGCCAAATTCAGTAATATAATACATGAAATACAAATATTTTTTAAAGTAAAGTCCTTTATTTTTAACGATTAAGCTATCCAATGGCCCACTTTTGTTTTAGTCTGTGCACTTGGAGAAAGTCTGCCATACGCTCAAGTAGCAAAGGCTCATGGGACATTTCATAAATTGATTAAATGAGTTTTTGTGGCATTATAAAGTGTGCAAATCTACATGTGGGGTTAAATCTGATCTAAATGTTTCTTGTCATTTCATGTTTCATGTTTAATCCWAATAAATCAGCACCATGAATGAAAACTATTCACTACAGCCCTTTAATGTAGTCATTTGACCAATGGAAATACTGTGTTTCTACATAGTATAACCTTGTAACTTTGGCAACTGTTGGTGGGCCAAATCAAATGGCTTGGCGAGCCAAATCTGGCCCACAGGTCCCACTTTGGGCTCCTCTGGGTTAGACAATGAAAGTGAAACACCTGGTTTTAGACCACAACATCCTTTTCAGACTGCTTCCTCTTGCATCCACAGTGAATCCTGTTGGATGTGGTTCGTCCTTCTTGGTGGGAGGCTGACATTACACAGGATACTGTGGCTCTTGATACATCACAAAGACTTGCTGTCTTGGTCACAGATGCACCAGCAAGACGTGCACCAACAATGTGTCCTCTTTTGAACTCTGGTATGTCACCCATAATGTTGTGTGCAATATTTTGAGCCAAACTGTGCTCTTACCCTGCTAATTGAACCTTCACACTCTGATCTTACTGGTGCGATTAATGAAGATTGGCCACCAAGCTGGTCCTGTTTAGCCATGAAACCTCGCACACTAAATGACAGGTGTTTCAGTTTCATTGTCTAACCCCTGTACATACAGGAAATATAAGTTTTAATCTCATTTAGGTCAGGCCCTTCTTGTTGGTCCAACCACTTGGCTCAAATGAACATTAAAGAAAAGGAAGTTGACCGTTTCCGCTTCACTGCTGCAGCTCTTTTTTTTAGGTATTTCAAGCACGGCATGAATCTGAGCTCAGCTTGGCACTGATGGGGTATAAGACTGAATTGATGTCATTAACTCTCCTCCCCCAAATAGGCGCTGAAAATGTTTGATGGTGCATTTACAGCATGACTTACGCAAGAAATCACCGACTGGACAACAGCGAGAGAACAAAGAGGCACTCTGCACTGTATAATCACTCTTCTCAAAAGTGTACTCGACCAGCATTGCGCCACATACTATATGAATAACAAAGGCGAGAGCTTTTAGTAAACGTCCATAACTCACAGGGAAACTGTTTATAGCTGTGGTATGCAGATCTGGCCACAGTGAACATCATCTGTTATTTACTGTAGGTCTGGCTCTGCTGCAGCTCCGTCTTATGGTGCAATCCAAACAGGCAGCGGTGAAGCCTGCGACGTCCGGACATAAAACAGGCAGCAGTGTAGAGGCTGCTGCTAATGGACCAAGTGTTCTCAGCGTTGGGAGGACGATACACAACTATAGTCTGTGAAAGTGACATGAATACAGTGTACTTCACCGGTGTCTGCGCGCACACACATACACACACACTTTCCGCTCAGACCTCTCTGTGAACCTGGCTGCTGGCCTTCTGAAGGCTTGAAGGCTTGGCCGACTAGTTTGAGCTGTGTAGCAGTATCTCTGTCAGACAGCTGCTAGGTCAAGCACGCTCGCTGTCGATTAAAGTACAGAGTTTGTGTTTCAAAAAAAGAAATAAAACAAGGATAGCGATGCTTTTAAATTTTACCCACACATCAGAGTCTGAGTTTAGCCCTCTTGGTGTTAGACTGTGAGGCTGCAGTTCAGAAGAATGTGCTATTTTTTTTTTTCTGTCAGATTTGTGGTGTTGAAAGACTTTGAAATGTGCAATCCTGTTTAAAAGCATTCTAAAATATCAAGTGAGTCATCTCACTTTTATCCTATTTAACTGAACTGATGAAGTCACTGGTGAAGGTTATTCCGTTGGTGTTTTTATTCTGACAAAGGTGCTGAGCAATGCTGCCCTCCAGTGGTCAAAAGCATGTCCAACACCTTCTACACTGGAAACAACAGCATCAAAACACTGTGCAATGAGATCAAACATATTAATCACCCACTACGCTTATTTTTTCCAGAAACTTATACAAAATATACATTTAAAATCAAATATAGCAACAACAATATCTTGTTTTATTATACATATTCACACTAAATTCCAATATGAATAATTACACCTTTGTTATTTCATAAACCATACTCTTTTTTACCCTGTATTTTACCCACTGTGTTCAAGTTAATAAGCCAGAAGACAGCATGCAAGCAGATACATGCATTGCCAGTTAAAAAAAAGCCTGGAATTATTTCTAAATTTATGTCCAAGCCAACAAATGTAGTTCCAGCTCAGTGGTGAATCAGCCCTTGGGATGTACATATTTTGTATCAAAGTCAGGTGGGTGGTAAATCTGATTATTTTTCACAAAACCAAATACAAAAACTATGCAATACACAGGAAACTTGAAAAGTAACCCAGTGCTTTCATGTGGAGTTGCTTTTATTATACATGGCAGTACTGTACATTCCAGTTTTAAAGGAGGCATATCATGCTTTTAAATTCTTCTTTTTCACATTTAAATAATTTATTTGGGGTCTATATAACATAGAACTGCAATACTTTGGTCTGAATTATTGTAACTCCGCAAGCCCCTCTTTCACCCCTTTTCTGAGCTGTGTCTCAGATCAACTCATTTTGAGGCTGTCTCTTTAAATCCAAATGAGGTCGTCACCCCCCCCCCCCCACAGAGTGGTTAGTCCAGACTGATAAGAGGAGTTATGACTATATAGGTATGCAGAGGATAGTTATTTACAAATGAAGTAAAAGATGACAACAATGGAAGACTTGTCCATCGGCCTGACATGTTGGAGCCACAGTCTGACTCAGAGCCACAGGAGAATGAAGACCACCAAATTGAAGTTGGTAAGTCCAGATCTTATTTGGCAGTTTTGTTGCAAATATTGTGATGTAATAATTCAGAATTTGTCATAGGAGTATCTTGAGTAAACCCACATGTGCAAGGAGAACACAGCAACGCCGGACATGGAGCCAGTTTTGAACCTGCAACCTTATTGCTTTGAGGCAGCTGCTCTGACCAACGCTGCCACCTTAGCTAAATAACCAACCCATACCTGACGCGTCAAAATAAGACACAGAGGGAACCTTGGAAATGCGTCAGTATTTGATGAGATGGGAGTGAGAGTATTAAAATAACAAGAGCAAAATTTACTTATATCAAAATGAAAAATGTAGGTCCAGCTCAAGTACTGTAATAGCTGGCTTAAAGGTTAAAACTTGTAAAGTTTATTCAACATTGTTAGTCAAACTGCAATATACAAATTATGTTGGTCTGTTTTATTATTACTCCACAGTAAAAATAGAAAAACCAAAAGGTTTGATGTTTGCTGTGATTATGGTTTGTGATCTGTTGTTATTCTAATTTGTAATTATACGGCACATTAAATTGCAGTTAATTCAGACGCTAATTACTCCCTTTGTGCATTACTTTCATCCTAATGGAGATCACTGCCTTCCAAGATATTTGCTGAAAGAATTAACACATTTTTTGTTTGTCTTCTTCTTCAATTTGTGCCGTGTGAAAGAACAAGGCATTAATTCATCTCTGGTTCTGGTTTTTCTGCCACTTGATGAAGCATGTTTTTAAAGAAATGTCTAGATGTATATCATGTTTTACAAATTATTTCTGTAAATACCATCTACTTTCTGCATTTTAGTCAACTCTGGCTTGTGATAAGCAATGGAAATATATTTTCAGAAAATAAATAACCATGGCTGTTTAAAAGTGCATTTATTAAAGTCATTATTTGGCACTTCAGTTATTATAACTGGACATATTTTAAACATAAAACAAAAGTGAGCATCTCAAAGAAAGAGAGTTGTGTCAAATTTACTGCCCAGCAGAAATTCTAAATTTTATTGTATTTAATAGAGCAGTTTAGAGATGATGAAAAGGTGAATTTTATTACATTTGTAGGTAATGAATAAATATCTTTTTTTTTACTAAAGAAAAGTTTCAGAAAGAAAATTAAAAACAGGAAAGAAGCATAAAAATGTTACAATTTTAACAAAATACTGATAAACTGAGATGCTCACAATTTGTTTCTTTAGGACAATATTACAAAATTAGTCAGAGAAAATACTTTACAAAAAGATGACATACATTTTCAAGGTTTATATAAAAAACATGCAGCACCAAGATGAGACTAATGTAAAGCATCTTTAACAACAGGGCTTTTTATTAACAAATGGAGAACTGGTTATTTTCAACAGCTCAAGGCGTTGTTGGTATAATGAATCACTTCAAACATGCAATAAGCTGAATATTCTTTAAAAGCATTTAAAACTATGTTTTACAAAATACAGAAAACTGTTCAAAGATTAGACACATTTAGACATTCTTCAAGTTAAATGTAAATGTTGGAGAAAATTCAACAATTCTGCTGTGTTCCGGTTATCTCTTTTAAGACACGGTGTTAAACTGGCTTTGAATACATATGACTTTTTCCACTAGTTAATTTCTTAAAATTTTGGTTTTGATGCTTGTTTTGGTGTAGGTACCAGATTAGCCTCATTTAAAAAAAAATTCCATCTGATTGACCTTGAGAGAGTATTGAAGACCTGACACAAGGGTGCTAGGGCTTTTTCTCCAGGTAATTCGAAGGAACCCATCCTTTTCTTGGTCTACCATTTTCCAGAAACTTGCAGTACCACCAGCCATTAGGGTTTTTTTCAAGAACCTCCAGATTCGTCCCCTCAGGAAAGCCCATCGTCTCTTCATCGCCTGGATAATCTGCGATGGAAATGTAAACCTCTCTGAGGTTGTTGTGGATGATGTGGGGTTTCGGTTTCACCGCAGACACTGGAAGAGCATTCTTTTGACAGCTTAAACCAAGAGATTCGGCGCTGCCTGTACCAGACTTACTCCTGATAGGAAGCGCTATGCTGTTTTGCGCCAGGCTTCGAGGCACGGTACCAAACGAGGCATTGCGACGCACCGTTGGGCTGGAGCGTGGGTTGTCGGCTGAAGTGAGGGACTCGTTTCTTCTGAGTGAGCCAATAGAGCTGGGACCATCTCTGACTGGAGCTGAGATGAAGACTGACTGGGGTCTGACAACCTGCTGTTGTTTGGTGCTGTTCTGCTTTATTGAGCCGAACAAGCTGGTAGGTTTGGAAAGACCACCTGGAGGCTTAGAGGGGATGGGTGGAGACTTTTTCAGATTCTGGTTGATGTTGTTCAACACCCGCACCCTTTGTTCGTTCTTCTCCAGACTGTTAGACTTGCTGAGGCTCCCAGGTTTAGCCAGAGTCCCATCAGATTCGTACTCTGCCACGTCGTCTGGCTGCCTGACGGGCTCAAGGTAGTAAGTTGGAGCCCAACCCTCAGTGTCTCTCCAACGGACGTACCACCAGCCACTTTCCTGCTTTTCAAGGACTTCCACTTCCACTCCAGCAGGGAAGCTGAGCTCAGAGTCTTGGACTTTCTCATAAGGATCTGTGGTGCGGTACAGGCTGCAGCCTTCCAGGTCAGAGTCACCTCGGCTTCCTTTCGAGTAGATGGAAGAAAGATCAGAAGTACTCTGAGAGGAGAAGGAGTCTTCAGAGGAAATGACGGAAGCTGTCTCAGAGTCTTCGCCTTTGGTTTTGGTGCCATTCCTCAGCTGACCTGTGGGTCGCAGCTGTCTTCTTAAGGTGCTGATGTCCATCTTCTCTGCACTGGAGGCCTTGGTTACCTGTGGTTTAGGTCTCACTACCGGCCTTGGTTTATTGGAGGACTTAAACATAGCCTTGCTCTCCTCATGGTCTTTCTTTGGTCTCAACAGATCTGGGGTGGATTCATTGGAGAGAGATTTCGGACTAGATGCCTCTTCGGATCGGGGTGAAAAAGAGCTCCCATTCAAGTCTGTCTTAAACCTGTTACCAGCAGGTCTAAATCCACCTGAAGACGGGTTTGCAGGCTTGCCGTTTTCCGATAAGACACTTGTCTTGGAGGAGTTTGAGTCCCTGCTGCACTGCCTCTCTGGGGTCTGTTTGAAGGGCAGGAACACATCATTCTCATAGATGCACTCTTCCTCTCCCTCTGCCTCCCCCTCTGCTTCGTGCCCATCCTCAAATGATTCTCCAAACTTAAAGGAGGCGCTGTGAAGTGATGAAGCCGGCGATGGTTTGGAGGACAGTTGAGATCCCTTTTCAGAAGAAGTTTCGTCATTTTTTACATCCACCAGAGAACTTTCTCCCCTCAGAAACTCAAACTCAGACTCTAGGTCCAGATCACCAATGGTGGGGACATCATACTCCGGCTCTTCATACACCGGCCTCCCAGGTGACACGGGAGACTCTGGGGCCTCAGATCCAGGGCTGCTGGGAGGTGCAGTCTCCACTGAGTCTTGTTTTTTGACAGGGGGAGCTGGTGGGGGAACTTTGGGGCGGCACAGGGTGCTTGTTCGTCGATTCGAGTTGGGCTTTTTACGTTTGTCAATGTAGGAGCATGGGGCCCAGCCTTCCTTCTCGCCTATCTGGACATACCACCATCCACCAGAATTCTTCTCAATAACCTAAAAATCCACACATTTATGAAGTTTAGTTTTTAAATGAAGGGGGTTTAATTATATAACAAAGCTTTGAGATATAAACTGATGAAGCAACAAATACATGATTTGTGCCAAAGCCTTATGATTATCTTGTTTTTTAAGTTTACATAAAAAGAGCTTACATCTGCTTTTTGACCTCCATTAAAGCTGATCCCATCAGATATGCAAGATTGAAAATCTGCAATGGTGTAATACTCTGCTTCAACTGTAGGGGGCTCTGGAGGGCAGGGCAACTGAAACCCCTATGTAAAAATAAAACAGACAATGTTAAAAAACAGGAACTTAATTATTCAACTAAGTACTATAACACTGTAACAAATAACATTTTTTATTTTCTCAGTTTACTCTCAGGTTTTCATTATTCTTTTGATAAGAAGGCAAATAAAAAGTAATTTACATTTATTTTACTGTCAGAATTAGCTGCAACATTTAAATAATGTTCATGCATGATATAAATCTGCATTTTCTGCTTTTTCCAAACCTTCTACCTTTGATACTTAAAATAATTTGTTGCAGTGCATGAGCTTAAAAATGAATAAGTTTGCGTAAAGATATTAATTGTAATGTATTAGACTATTTGTTCCCTATTGTTTTGTTGTGTAGTCCTCATTTGGAAAAAAATATAAAATAAAATAAATAAACATATATATA